TTCATAGTGGTTTATAGATTAATATTAAATAAATACCAACAAATTTATTTTTATATTCTTGATTAATTTTTCAAGTTAAATTATTTTTATAATATAATGCTTTACGTGATAAAATATTTCTCTAATAAATTTGTTTTCAACACATAGTACAGTATATGAAATACATATGACAGCATACATGTGTTATACAATTAGTAAAGAATAAAGAAAATAATTAAAAACAAATAAGACTGACTCATGACACGTTAGTTTTAAATAGAAAAGAATTAATAGTTAAGATAATGCTATACAAATTTAAATATTTTTAAGTGAATATTATTGTATAATAGTAAATATTATAAGACATGAATTAATTTGCAACTAAAACTGATGAGAAATAAAATTTAAAAAAAATCTTCCCTTTTAATTTTCTTGTATTTTTTAATACTGTTTTTTTTTATCTTTAAAAAATTATTCTTTTTCAGAAAAGTATTGGCCTTTATTCGTTGAAAATCGATCCGTTCTTTAAAAAATAAATTTAATGACGAAAAGGCAACCTGTCCTTGGGTAACACAACTATATTTTTATTACATTTAACTCGCAAAATNTTGAATTTTATATTTTAGTACAAACATAATTCCGATAATCCAACAGATTTTTTAGTAACTATTAGACTGTTTTTTTATAATTAAAAAATATACCAAATATATTTTGCTTCTAATTAGAGTGTCAGAAAAAATATATTCATATAAGGGAAACCGGTGTCTCATCTGCTTCAAAAAATTAGCGTAAGTTGAAAAGAAAGTTTTTTTTTAAAGCAAATAATTTGCCAGTAATTTAAGCTCTTAAGCTTTGTAACTGAAAATCAAAAATATATCTAAAAAAAATTCAAATAAGTTTATTTTATTCACATAATTTTATTTTATATTTCATTCAAATAATTTTATTTTATATTTTATTCAAATTATTTTATTTTACATTTCATTCAAATAATTTTACTTTATATTTTATTCAAATAATTTTGTTTTAGTATCAAATAACAATATTTCTTTTCTCTCGAAGTCGAAACTCCATGTTCATGTATATGGGAATGTAATATACTCAAATAATTTGAGATCGGATGCACAGATCTGGGTAGTCTGCTTTACTGCAGTTTGCAAATTTTAACGGAGTAGTTAAAAAAATCGTGTAGTTTCCGCACAGTATTTAAAATACGAAAATCTATTATAGAAACTAATTGTTATGTATTTAACTTTCAGTAATTAACCCTTAAATCGCTTAGGTGATAAGCACGACATTTTGTAATTCATGTAAACAACATTTAAATTTATCAAACTCTAATGTCTAATTCTAATCTTATTGTTGACAAATTTTAATAAGCATATTTTTTAGAATTTTTAAACAGAAATTTTTAATTCTTTAAAATAATATTATTCCTATTAGCTGAAATTAAACAATTAAGTAAATATAAAATAAACAAGTAAAATTATATCCACATTAAATGACGTATTTAAATAAAAATATTATTTTTTTAATGGTTCGAATATTGAGAGATTTTAATTATTAATGCAATTTATTTATTATAAATTGTTCAACAAATCGTATAAAATCTTTATATGATATTGTTTGTTATTGATTAATGTAAGTAGAGAAGCTCATTGAATTCCAAAATTCTAAAGAGTATTAAAATGAATGAAATTAATCTTTTTCTCGATACATAAATTTATATTAAAGAAAAAAAAACTATACTAAATGAAGCTTATTTTGTTTATTTAATGACTTCATAAAGTGAATAAACGAAAATACTTTTGTTTTCTGGAATTAAGTATTGCAAATACTCCGCATATTTTGTTAACAAGATTAAAAATAAAAAAGATTTACCTATTTCGTTTTACATTTAAAATAACAAGGAGCGTTGTAAAAAAATGTTATGATGATGAATTTAAATTCAATGAAAGAAATGAAAGATAATCATGAATTATTCAAAAATAATGTTAACTTAAAAATCATAAATGGTTTTACATATATTAATTACAAATTGAATCGTTACAATAGGTTTATCAACAAGCAATATCTTATGAATAATTCATCGTCTATCTACAGGATTATTTGTTTGTTTTCATATGTTTTATTTTATATAACATTTATTAAAATGTTTACAATACTTTAAAAATCATAGGAAAAAATGTTTGAAGATGTTGAAAGGCTTTTATGGTAAGTCATCATTTTGTGGAATTAAAAACCTACAAAAAAGCCAAATTCTCTAATTGTTTATTCGTTTTTATTTTGGTTACTATTGTTTGTATTATGTTTTTGATATCTGACTGGTCTTGATATAGATGCAGTTAAGAAATAACTACTCTTCAATTTTGCTTATTTTACTGTAAACTGTAAAAATATAATACTCGTCATGAAAAATTACAGCATAACAATTTTACAGCCAGTACATTTTGAAATGGAAACACTGTCAATAGGCCTTACTTATATCACGTCATATTAATATAGATCTTATTTGGAAATGATTTGCAATAATAGTTCATAGTGGTTTATAGATTAATATAAAATAAATACCAACAAATTTATTTTTATATTCTTGATTAATTTTTCAAGTTAAATTAATTTTATAATATAATGCTTTACTTTACGTGATGAAATATTTTTCTAATAAATTTGTTTTCAACACATAGTACAGTATATGAAATACATATGACAGCATACATGTGTTATACAATTAGTAAAGAATAAAGAAAATAATTAAAAACAAATAAGACTGACTCATGACACGTTAGTTTTAAATAGAAAAGAATTAATAGTTAAGATAATGCTATACAAATTTAAATATTTTTAAGTGAATATTATTGTATAATAGTAAATATTATAAGACATGAATTAATTTGCAACTAAAACTGATGAGAAATAAAATTTAAAAAAAATCTTCCCTTTTAATTTTCTTGTATTTTTTAATACTGTTTTTTTTTATCTTTAAAAAATTATTCTTTTTCAGAAAAGTATTGGCCTTTATTCGTTGAAAATCGATCCGTTCTTTAAAAAATAAATTTAATGACGAAAAGGCAACCTGTCCTTGGGTAACACAACTATATTTTTATTACATTTAACTCGCAAAATAGTAATTATGTATGTGTCACCTTGAAAGAAATCAATACCGGTTTTATTTAAGGATTAGAATACTAAAAAAAGAATGATCATTTGTTGAATTGATATATTTGAGTTATAAGTTAGTTTGGAATAAAATGTAAAAGGCTTATAAAAGGTTGTTAGATTTTTTAATATCTGGTGTATTATTATAAAATATGATAGCATTTCAATATTGTGATATGTTCAGTTTAAATTTAACAGTTCTTCAAAATTTGAAAACTTCATACTATGACTACATTTAACAACTAGAAAAATTTATCGCAAATAGAAAAATATTTTTTTCTAGCAGTAGCATTAAAATAAATTATTATGTGGGATGATTTATTTTGATTTCGCTTATAATTAACAATTCGTTATTTTCCCTGAATAACGAAATTAAATAAACATTTCGAATATAATAAGTATTCCGATTGCTTTTATTTAATAAACGAACTATCAGAGAGTATTGTTATTAACTGTTTTGATTAAAAGAAATATTACAAATGAATGGAAATAGCAGTTTGTAAATATTGGAATATGAAAACTGTAATAAGCTCTTGATAAAAAAATATAGTTGTATGTTTTTTTTATTTAAAGAAATAACAATATTCGGAGGATCTAAAATAAAGGAAATAACAATTTTCTATTTCGTTTTTACTACCGTTTAATATAATTATTTATTATATTTCAAATAACTAATTGAAAGATTGCTTACAATGTTACAGAACTGTTAAATCTCCTTTCAAATTATTGACATATTGTAGCATCATTGAAATAAAAATTACAGTTTTGCTTAGATTATTTTCATAGCACCATAATAAAAGAGCTGCTTATAGAGACACATTTAAGTTCGAATTATGGAAAAAATCGAATTCTAACTTGGAATAAATTAATAATAGTTTGAATGACCATGATTTTCCATGATGATTTCAGTGAATGGAAGTTAGTTTCACAAAAATTATTCTAAAGGAGAAAAAACTTTTCCGAAAAAGATGAAAAATTCTTCAAATACTTCACAAACCAAAGTAGAATATTTTAAATGATATTTTGAGAGCGTTTAAATTCCTAAGACCCTAAAAATAGTCTATTATCTTATGATTCCAAACAAAACTGGTTGTACTGGGGAGATAACTTGTTTTGAAAAGCGTTTCTACATGCTTTAGATGCATAAGTTATTTCATTTTTTTCTTTGTAGTATAAAACTGTACTTAATATGTTAATCTGTTACGCTTTTAAATTTTCTTAAGATATTAAATATGCTATTTTGCTTCTTTTTTTACTATTATTACTACGTTTATTGACAGCTTAACTTACACATCTTACACGTTATGTTGTTATGCTTGTACGTTATAACGCAAAACGTACAACGAGCGTCATGCTATAACGTTACGTAGGCGTTTTAAAAATAATTTTTAGTATATTCTTAAGGTGGTTTTTCTCCTTGTAGTATAAAAATACTTAATATGTTAATCTGTGACTCTTTCAAATTTTGTTACGACATTAAACATGCTACTTTCTTAATCGTTCAACTATTATTATAAAATTTATTGATTGAAATTATAAATGTTGTACGTTATGTCATTATGTTTGCACATTGTGACACACGTTGTACGTTATGACAGATAACATACAACGTGCGTCACGTCATAACGCTTCGTAAGTTACGTTGTAACGTTCATCTGCTTAGCTTTCAAATCTCGTTATGGCACTTAACATGTTTATCAGCTCATCATTCAAATCTTGTTATGGCACTGAACAAGCCCATGTGCTTAACTTTTAAAGCTTGTTACTTAACATGTTCATAAACTTAGTTTTCAATCTAAGTATCAAGAACAATAATTTAATTAAAAACCATACTATTATAATATTTATTTGCGAATACTTACCTGGAAATACTTTAAGGTCGTAGGTAACTCCTAATGGGCTTCCACCATATGCACGTGCAGGTTTCAACCCTACAGAGTGAGGTGCATGTCCTGAAACACTCACTGTTAGGGCATGGGCATCTGGTCCAAGTTTTTTTAATAAATGTTGTTGTAGTGCTGTCAACGGGCGTTTCCGTTCCCCACATGGATATATCTAGAAATTAAATTATAGTGGAATGAAAAAACTAAAGGATATTATTTTCTCAAGCTTAAATATAAACTTTAACTAAGACATAATTGTTGTGGGGCACGAAGTTAAACTAGGAGTCGCATGCACCTATTTTTTCTATTAATTTTTCTATGATTTTTTTTAGACCACATTTTCATTAAGTACGTATTTAAAAAGGACATGAAAAAGAGAGGATATCTTCTTGCCTAGTAATTAATGTTTTGTTAAATAGTTTTGTTAATGTTAAATGCAACTAAAATACCAATTTTTACTCAAACCGTTACAAGTTGTTTTTTCTTAAAGCTTTCAGAACTTTTTCAAATGAGCATCATCCTCACCCAACCGTTGCCAAACACCTAGTCGCATTTTTAGGGTTCTATCTCTTAAATAATATGGTAGGAATGCCACGTAATTTTGCTCCTGATCAGACGTTGAGGGCATTGTCTGAGCTGGTACTCTTCTGATACCCCACTTTTTGGCACCAAACAGCCGCACCTCAACCAATAAGATGAATTTTAGCCACGGCAGATTAAACTCGTACCTAACTGCGTATACACGTCGGTTGTTTTTCTGCCAATGTCATCGAACTCACAACCTCCAGCTCTCCAAACAGCTGTGTTAGTGGTGTCTTAACAGACTGCCCCTCTTAAATGAGCATATCTGACAATTAAATTTATAACCCCTATCCAGTAATTAGTACTAAAATGAACAAATTTGGCAGTAAAATTAACAACCCATTTACAATAATTAATTGTAAAATGAACGTATTTGATAATAAAATTAACAACTCATTTTCAATGATTATTTCTAAACTGAACAAATTTGACATTAGAAATAACAACTCATTTTCAGTAATTAGTTCCAAAATAAACAAATTTGACAATAAAATTAACAACCAATTTTCACTAGTTCTAAAATGAACAGATTCGACAATAAAATTAACAAACCATTTTCAGTATTGACTTTAAAAATATACAAATTTGACAATAAAATTAACAAATCATTTCCAATAATTAGTTCTAAAATGATCAAATTAGACAAGAAATTTGACAAAGTATTTTCAGTAATTATCCCGAAAATGATCAAATTAGACAAGAAAATTAACAACGTATTTTTAGCAATTAGATCTAAAACGATCAAATTAAACAATAAAATTAACAACCCATATTCAGTAATTAGATCAAAAATGAACAAATTTGAGAGCAAAAAATAATTTAACAACCCTGGTTCAGTAATTACTTCTAAAATGTTAAGTAATTAATTCTAATTCAAATTAGGCAATAAAATTAACAACCTACATTTAGCATTTAATTTTCGATAAGTTATCAAAACTGCAGTTAAATATTTCACGGCAGGAAAATTGTTTCAAAACATGTTTAAATATCCAAGGCAAAATTACAAACTAACAAAAAATTAACCATTTTCGAAATAGACTTTTTATATTTTTAATAAATCACTACCTAAGAAAATACCTAGTTTTCGCAGAAATTTTTATGAATTTTAATTTGTCAAGCATAAAATAATATATGAAAACATTAATGTTTCCAGTCAAGTTAGAAATAAAATTTTCAATTTTTAAATTTGAAACTACATTGTATGTCTTTCCTTAAACAAAAACACTTAAGTGGATAAACTTAAACTTCAGAAAGTAATCTGAACCCCGAAGGGAAATATAAGAGAAAATCTGCCATTTTTTGCGAAAGGAAAACTTTAAAGTTTAACAAGGAGGATTTTTCGACTTACAGAAAAATAAGCTTTATGTTCTTGTTTATTTGATCCGGTAAATATTGTTTCTCCTATCAAAAGATTGTTTGAGGTATTTTCAAAAACTAAATATTACATTTTATGCAAATACAAAATAAAAACTAGTTTCCAAGGTTTGTTTTTTAGTTTCAATGTTTATAGCTTAAACATTTACATAAATTTTTAATAAAATTAATGCATCAAAAATAAGTCGAATTATTTAAATGGATACGATGGTCACGTTCAAATTCTAAGTTACAGAATTTATATGTCAAATCTTAAAATCATTTTAATCATTTTAGGAAATAATGCGAACTCTTAAAACAAGCGATATATTTCTACTTTTTGTTACCTGCAGTTTTATTTAATTGAAAGTTTTTTTTATGTTCTTTAATATANATGTATGTAATATAAATAAATAAATACAAGAAAACACGAAGAAGAAAGTTAAGAAAAACAAAAAAATTCCTTTACTAAATAATTTCCTTTGTTAATCTATACAATTTTTCCATGTGCAAATCCATTTCGGGCAAATTCGTGGCTAAAATTATCTACCAAGTTTTTTCTTTGTTAATTTTTCCATGTGCAAATCCATTTCGGGAAAATTCGTGTTAAAATTATCTATTAAAATTTTTTTTCTTTGATCATTTATATAATTTTTCCATGTGCTAATCCATTTCGTGTAAATCCGTGGATAAAATTATTTGCAAAATAGGCAATTTATGTTTCTCTTTTCCATTTTATATTTTTTCTTACATAAACATATATTTTCTAAAACTATTTATGACCAATTTTTAAAATTATCCAGTGTAATATTACCTTGCGCACATCTATTTCGGGCCCATCCTTGGTAACTAACAAATCAATGCACGGAATAACAAATCACTTCAGCAATGCAGTAAGAACGGCACTTTAAAACCCTCCATTTACACTCAATTTGCGCTTTTGTTTTCATATTTTGTAATCTGGCAATCTTTTTGAGAAAACATTTTTAAATCATTCTTAAAAATTTCCCGTCCATGTAAGTAGATCTGATTTCGCTACTCGCTTTTTAGCCCATTTCTTATACTGTTTTTTCTTTTTCTTTTCTTTTCTTTTATTTTTTGTTTTTACATGTTATTTTTACTTAATTTTACCTTTTGTGTTCTATTTTATTTGTTGTAATTTTTGTAAAAAAATTTTTTTGAGTGCTCCTNATTAATATATTTTGCTTTGGTTTTATTGATACAATATCAGAAAGCACTCTGTTTTGCGGATGTAATCGTGTGGGCTGATGAAAAGATTATATCTTTTTTTTCTTCCTTTTTCCGGTTTTTTTAAATAAAATTTCATCCCTTTTTTTTTAATTTNTTTTTTTTTTTTTTTTTTTTTTTTTTTTTTTTTGAAAGCTGTTGTTTGTTATTTTTTTACTTATTATTTCCCCCTTTTTTTTCATATGTCTGTAATTTTTCTTTGTTTTATCTTCATTTGTGGGGTGAGTTCTCTATCCCCTGAGCAGCAACAGCTCTCGTTGAACTATATTATTCAAATTTATTTTTTGAGAAAATCGTTCAAATTCCTTGGAAAGCGTTGAAGTGATCTCTCAAATTGTTAATTATTTTGAAATCTCACCATAAACTAAAAAGAAAAGTATGGTCAAAACTGTTAGAATATGGTAAAATTGACGGTGTTTCTGGCTCTATCAGAACCCCGAAATGCATTCTAATTTTTTCGGATTACTATGCTAACGCCTTTGGTAAAACTAGCAATAAAACATTACTTTATAATTGCAATTGTAAACATTGCGTAATTGTTCTTTTTTTCCTAAATATAAATATAATTAAAAATATTTTCAATGAATTATTTATTCGAACATATGCAATGCAATGAAGATGCATAATGAAGGTTGATATTTACAATAAATATCATTTTAATAAGGGATTTGCAAAATCAGCAAAATAATGCCAGAATTTTTTTTTAAATGCAATAAAAATACGCCATAGTATTTACACTTTTCAATAATACGGAATACTTAAAAAACGATAATAGTTACTTTTAATTACATTTTTACAATTGATGAAGTTTTTCTAAAATGTTTAGAAATAATGAATCACTAAAATATTTGTAAAGCATTTGAATTCACGTAAATTAACCTTTGTATATAAAAGAAAAGATGTATTCTAAGCCATACATTTGTTTCAATATATATTTAATTTTTACAGGCATAAAATAATAGTTTTTAATAAAATGAACAAAATAATATTTTATGATTTGAAGGTTTTAAAGACAATACAATGAAGCAAAATGAAAACAATAGAGCTTTCATTAATGTCAGAGCTTTAAAGGGATTTTGAAAAGGGCTTTTAAATAAGCCATTAAACTTAACTAATTTTCAAAAGATAAGATCTGCTTGTTTTGATCAAACATAATGTCTTTAAAATTGCGCTTATAATAGAGTGAGTGACATTTTCTTATAAATTTATTCACAATTCATTTACACTTTTATTTTAACAAATAAAATTAATTTAAGTTTCAGACTGTTAAAATGGAAATATAAAAGAAGTAAGATAAATAAATTTTGACGTCCATTTTTACATATTTTACGCATGTTTTCTTACGTTAAGAACGTATTTTCTGGATTTAAAATATGTCATAACAATGCAGGTATTCGAGAAATGTGTTCTTATATTAATTTTTGACAACAGAAATTATTAATTCTATTATTAAAGTTGATGGCATTTTTAACTGTTAGTTTTGTTGATTGCTTAACAATAAAAATACTAGCAATATATAGTTTGGTATAAAATTTTGATTGAGGTTATGTAGTTTGGGAGTATAGGATTAGGTAGTATGGAATTAATTTAAAGATCAATAAATTATTATTCTCCATTTGTTTTTGTTTAAACGGTAATGCTGCTCTACGATCATAATGAAGTAATTTGCATAAACTGTTCCTGGCTGTTTATTATTTCAACTCCATCATCATCTGCTTCTTTACTTATTCAAGCAAAGTATAATTACCCAATTAATGGGTAATTTTAGTTTATTTTGTAAAATGATGGCCTATTCTCAACGGTTTATGATTCCAATTCTGGCATCGTCTGTCTCTTTCTTTGTTCCAGTAAAGTATAATAATCCAAGCAATGCTGATTTTAAATTATGTTGTCAAATGATGGTCTATTAATGATGGCTTATGGTTTCTCTTCCGGCATCATCTGCCTTTTCACTTGTTCAAGTAAAGTGTGATTACCCAAAATATAGTAATTTTTACTTATCTTTTTAAGGACTGTCTATTTCTGATGGTTTATGATTTAAATTGCGACATCATCTGTCTCTTTGCTCGTTCAAGTAAAGTATAATTACCCAAAATATGGTGATTTCAGTTTACTTTGATTTATAACTGATGGCTTATAATTTCAATTCTGACATCATCTGCCTCTTTACTCGTTCAAGTAAAGTATCATTACCCAAAATATGGTAATTTTAGTTTACTTTGTCAAATGCTGATTTATGACTGAGGGTATATGATTTCAATTCTGACTTCATTTGTCTCTTTATTTGTTCAAGTAAAGTTGTGATCACCCAAAATAGAGTAACTTTATTCCTTTTTTTAAAGATGGTCTATTCCTGCTGATGGCTTTTGATTTAAATTCTAACATTATCCGTCTCTTCACTTGTACAACAAAAGTATACTTACCCCAAAAAGAGATAATTTAAATTTATTTGGTTAAATGATGGCAATGTTTGAGAGATTTTAATTTTTTTGCAGAGGGAAATGTAACTAATTTATAAAATATTTAAAGTTGCAGAAATATATCCTCTATTCACAAATTTCTTTTTATACAACTGAGTTTTAAGTTGCATTAAACTAGTATGGTACTAAAACTAGAACTCGCTGTTGTACTGAAGCTAGATAATTGCAAAAATTTTTATTTTGAAATAAATAAATAAATAAATAAATAAATAAATAAATAAATAAATAAATAAATAAATAATTAATTAATAAATAAATAAATAAATAAATAAATAAATAAATGTGATAAAGTGATAAATGTCCAATTTGAAGATACAACTAGATTGTAAAAAATTTTGGAACAAATTATGGTACAATGTACCGTCACTTTGGGTGCGTGATCGGTAAAATTTATTTTATCGTAAAATAAATTTTTACCTAAAATATTGTACCGTAGTTTTTACAGTATAATAATTTATTCGATTCGAGTGTCTCAGCAATTTTACGGTAATTATTACTGTTAAACTTAGTTCATTTCAGAATTTTTGTTCCAAACATGCTCCGTTAAAATAGATTTTACGGTAAAAAATACCGGCCGTAATTTGATCCGGAATTTTTTCAGTGTAGACAACTTGATCAAAAAAAAGGTATACACAAAAATATCGAGTTATGTTATTATAGTGTTTTGCACACGATTTTAAATTGTAATAATTTTATGGTAGTTACCTGTTCATAGTGCAAGATTGCTTCTGTATAAAATTTAAGCCCCATCACCTCTTCGTCTTCTCGTCCATATCGAAACGTAAGAACAACTAGGGCAAATAGCTTGCTTGGTTCTATCTGTGTTGTTTCTGATGCAGTTAAAACAACTCCATCAATAGGTTTTACTACACCACCTTCCTCAACAATCAATTCTCGTCGGCTGAGGTAGACTGTCAACATGCCATTTGGGCTCTGCTTTTTCAAGACTCTGTAAATAAAATTAGCAATGATCAGAAATAGTTCATGCAGCTATTATTTTATTTTATAACTTTCGTTGAACAGCCGACCCAATTTTTTGAGTTTACGACTACTGATGTTCAACGCTGGAGCCTTGTAATTGTGAACCCAATACAGAAGACAAGGAAACTCCTGGATCAAGTATGGGGTGAAATTTGCCTCAGTGGAGTTACTTTTGTGTAGAACTAACCCGCATTTGTGTTACATGAAGAGGAAGACCACAAGAACCTCTTACGGTTAATCTTACGGAAAAGGGACTCTAACCCATGATCCGTCTACCCCTGACGATACTTCGCGTCAACACTGTGGTTGGTGCAAGCCAAATGCGGATTCGTTTCGACCAACCATCGCTGGGGATTCGAGCCCGTACACCTCATTGGAAGGCGAATGCTCTATCTCCTGAGCCATCGTGGCTCCTATAGCTATTATTTGCTCCATAGTGGCTGATCGTAAGACCCGGCTCTTAGAAAGACATCACTGACATCGGTCAGCAAACCCCACCGCAAAGTTCTGGTGGCATATCTTCGAATAATCCTCAAAAATATTTTTCAGATCGTCGTTACCAATAGTTGTAGCTCTAGTGGGACGTAAATAAAAGACTATTACTTCACTTATTATTTTTATGCAAAAATAAAACACCCTGCAACAGCATGTTGTAGGGTAGAGGGTCCGTGGAGGTTAAGGTGTTTTAACTTCGTGACTAGCGGCATGATGGTGGCAATGTGGCCAGCATTGCGCACAGATCATCTTTACTTGTCAGACAATCTGATACCTATCGGTTTGAAACTGGACGGGTTTCAAGCCGTCACCAGAAATCGAGCCCCAGACTTTTTTTCAAAAATATAATCTTTTGATTTTTATAAACGAATGTAATATTTATGCATAAAAGTCGGTTTTGAAATTTGTGGTCACACTTGCTTTTTAAAATGAAGAATACAATTATGCTTTCAAATTCAGAATGAATTCAATTATTTTCTTTTGAAATTTATATTTTAGTTAAGTGATATACTTTTCCTCCCTTACAAATTATTTTTTTTCAAAAAAGCATATCTTTTTTGAGTTCAAAATTAAGAAAGTCACAAATTATTAAAAAAAACATTTAATTTTTAATGATAATGTTTGATAGGATTGTTAATCAACTAATTAGTTTAGAAATATACTGTCAAAGTAATTTATTTATATTACTTTGAACTATTTTTACTTTAAGCTAATTTTTATAACTGAATTTAAATTTGTTTTCTTTAAAAGATTTTCTGATGGGTACATTAACAAAAAATAATCGAAACAAAAAAATGTGTTTTTATTTTTCCAGTATCACGTATTATAAATTATAAGTTCCTCATAAAAATTTTATGATTGCATTTGGTTTTAAAAAATTTAAATCAAAATAAGATAACCTTTTTAAGAATCACAAATCTGTGTAATTCAAGATTTTTGAAGTAATTGTTAAGAAATTTCAATTTTGCTTTTTTTGCAGACAGGCTAATTTACTTTTTCAGAATGTTTTAAAAAGAAAAGACGAGAAGATATAAAAAAGAAGAATTATGAAGAGCATCTAAAACGTTTTAGTAAACAATTTACTCTCATCTGATTAATAATTTATTATAGTTCTATCGAACCTAAAATTAAAGTTAAATTATCGTTTTTTTTGTCCGGTATAGTACGGAAAGATGTTATTAATGGGTCAAATTTCACACATTTTTTATTTTGTTCATGTCAATATACATGTTTTGAATAGGTCGGGTGCTTTTTTATTTTTTATTCAGTATCACCTTAATACGAGTCGGTAATATGTTTAAAATTTTTGTCAGCATGATTTGAAAACCCAAAATGCTGATTAGAATTTAATACAGATCACAGAAAATACACTAAAGAATTTTATGATGTACCGTGGCCTTCTAGACGAAATTAATTATGTAGATACTTAACTAATTATAGATTTGATTATCTCTGGTAGGTTTTCAATAAATCAAATACAGCAGCCAGTTATCAAGAATGCGAGAAAATCATCAATGGATGCAAATTGTTGGAATCTTGCTCATAAATTCAATTTCGACAATCACATAATTATTTCTACATCTGTCACATCAGCTCATCTTGATGTCCTGGAATCTTGTTTTCTTCATATGAATGCTGATTCCTTTTTTAGCGACACTAGTTCCCCACCAATACTCCGTAGCGGGTTTAAAATGCATTTTAATCTAATTTGCCCTACTCGGCCACTGTGGTTTTTTCTTGTTCTGTTTCTCATCTTTATTTTTTCCTCGTTTGTTGGTAACTTACGATTTATACTTCAAATCATTTTTTCTTTTTCTCATTTACGTCTGGCAAGTTCTGAAAAAGAGCACCTATTTTTGAAGTGCTTTTGCAGCTGCCTGCTGCTAGTTGTTTTACAGTAAATTTAAAATGAAAATTCTAACAATGCACGCTTTTACTAATAACGAAAATATTTGTTTTTCTCTGATTTTAGTACAAAGAAAACTCCATTGCGATCAAAATGATGTATAACAGTTTTTTTTTTATCATGGTTAGAATTCTATACATACATCATAAATGTTTATGTGTTTATTGAGTAGAGCAACGACAGACTTGATGTTATAATAATCAATCATTGTTGACACTTTAACAACCTTTGCGGATATGAATATAAAAAGTACATTTTCAGGTTCTTTCATTTCTCTTAAAAGAAAGCAGTTGTTGTTGGAGTAGGAAAATGACGGAGAGCTTGTGAGTTAAGAAAAAGGATGTTGTTCTCTCAACTTTGATTAAAGTATTTAAAATTGACTTTTTTTTAAAGTTAAAGATATTTTCAAATTCAGAATTAATTACACCCTGCCTGCTAAAAATAACAGAGAGCTTTCATTTATAATTTATGGTCGAAGCAACAACATGAAATATCCAAAGAATATTAGGATGGAGTGCAACACACTCTGTTAGAATTTTAATTCTAAAATTATGGTGAAATAATCGGCAGCAGTCTATCCGGCTAATTAACTGTAAAATTTACGGAAAAATAACATTTTTTACTGTTACCATTTTGAAAAGGTTTACAACTAGTCTATGGTCTTAAAACCGTGAAAAGAAGTTTAATCGGACTTAGGAGGTAGGTTTGTCTTTATGTAATGGATATGCGTTGAAAAGAATAAATGAATTATTGTGGTGCCAATACTGGGTCTCGAACCCCCTGTTTTTTGGGTCATGGAACTGCCTAATTAGCCCTCTCGGCTATAATATGTACACAGCTGAAAGGAACTAATTAGCTTCACTGGGTGGACTTAGTTGGTGCGATAAAATTATTGTTGTTTAACCGTATAGGATGAGCGCAGTTAGTAACCAGTCTTTTTTCAAAGTTAACAATTTGAATACAATCTTATTTATGGTAATTTGACAGCTTTGTTTGAATACAACGACACTTACTAAGGGGACAAAAGCCATATCACACCCCATAGGAACCTTAAAGAATAAAGGTCATAGAAAGGATAAGTGATCATTGTCATGTGACGCTTGTCAAGTGACGGGTGAAGATATTAAGAAACCATAAACAGAAATTTTTACTTCCTTTTTTATGGGGTTAATTGAAATTAAGATTTCATTTTGTTGACTTTACTTATTATATCCTGGAATTTTAAAATTTATGCAAGAAATACTTAACTGAAAAGTAAATTTAACCGAATAAATGATTATGCCACGCTCTAAGGTATTATGATAAAATTACTAAACTTTTCTATATTTATCAAATTTTATAAAAAATTATAAAATCATATCAAATTTCATCATAAATTGTAAAATCATATCAAATTTTATCATATTTTATTGTTAATTTTACCAAAAACATTACCAAAGCGCTTTGGTACTATATTCTGGTAGTTTTAACCATAGTTTTTTTCTCTGTGTGAAAAATGAAAAATTTCATGGATGGTAGCAACTAATATGCTTCATACACATTGAATTCTTTCATAAATATTACATATTGATATTACAAAGTTATTCGCTAATTTCGTATTTTCAAAAAACTACCTTGATCGTAGTTTTTTTTCTTATTTTTTTCTTCCTGCATCACAAGGATACCAACAATGAAAGCCTAACAATGCGTCAACTTTTCACTCTCGTATACTAAACTCTCACTTTTGACGATTCAGAAATGCTTGAAGCATATTTTGTTAATTTGGAGAAGTATTTCGTCACGAAATCACGTGATTTGTGATGAACTCTCAAATATATGACGAAAATGTTTCCTCATTTCGTACCTCATCGCAATGCATTGTGGGAGATCGTCAACTAGAATAACGAAAGTAGGATGGAGACAAGTTACGAGCTGAGCCGACTAGCCTTATTCGTGGTCAAGGAGTTGGCATTGTATCACGAAGATCCCGGGTTCGAATTCCTCTTCGGACATGGGTGTAATTTATCTATCTGTTCCATTTGTCTATATTGTCTTATTAAAGGGACACTGATCCAGCTGTTTGGGGCTCACGATAAAGTGATTATTAGGAAAGTTAGATACATTCGGGTATTACGAGATTTTATTTTGGTTAAAAGGCGGAATATTTCTTTACTAATGACAAAATTCGTTACCTCGCAGAAGAGACGATAGTTCTTTCGTCACTTTGATGAGAAAATGTTCGCTCGGAGCATATACTCGGAAACTGTTTAGTCAAAAACTAAGGAAGTTTTGTTAAATTTAAGTGTCAATTTTTTACAGTGTTCAAAATAGTCAGATAATTTCAATTTTAACCACTTGGTTCTCCTAATTCTTCTTCTCTTCCAACATTGATTATTTTTTTGACTACGAATGATAAAAGTACAAATTTTATTAGCACTTAAAATTTACCATATAACAATTTCCACAAATTAAACTATTTCAACAACAAAAAAAAGCATTTTTTTCTCTGTAATTTGAATTCTATTTATATATTCGCATCATTCACTAGGCATAGACCTTAACTAGTGTTTCCTCAAATATAAGATAAAATCTTGAAGAGTATCCAATCCGAATCTTTTCTTGTTTCTTT